GTAGTGTCAATGAATTTCTGCGTGTTTTATACATCAATTTTATTAACGTCCAGGCCACAAGGTCAATTGATATCACACTGCGTCATAAATACTGGATGTGACGTTAGTTGGTACTCTCCACCCGTAGCGAGCTTTTTAGAAATGTCAGGCCTTTCAACAAAAGGTGTTGCATTAAGATAAAAAATGATGATGCTTAACAAACTAAAAGAATAGCCACTTGGCACATACAATTAATTTGACAGAAAAATGTTCATATACCTTTTGAGGTATTCCTGTTTTCATTTCTTTTCAATAGACTACCACAGCAATGCGGAAAAGGTGATGTGGTTTGGTGGATATTTTATAATATATCCATCACGGAACGCTTATTCTGTCAGTCTTTTTGTCCGATAATCTCTATAAGATAGAAATTATTATTTTATTACGTAGCCCTGGAACGATTAACATCTTCATGAGTCGCAATGGAAGATGCTAATATAGTAGAGATTCAGGCTACCAGGAAAAAAGGAAGTATAAAAATTTACCCTCTACGATCTCAGTTGCAGACTAATTTCGATGTGACTGGCAGTCATAGATCTAAGCAAATGATGCAAATCAGTCAATCGCCATCTACTCAGAGGGCTAGGCAGGTACCACTTCGCTAACCATAATGAATAAGGTACTGGATCTTGAAAAAGTCCCTCGGATGTGGAAGTATTAATTACGGCAATTAATAATATAGGCAAGCAAGAAGGTTAGATTTAATAGAAATGCATTAAGAGCGATAATAAGTATCTAAACAGGACACTGTTGCATGTCGTCCAGATCAACATGTTGATGCACTGATGCCTAGCAGGAGGATACCATGTCCGTCCTGAAGAAATCACAAAAGGAGCTCGAACTACTGCAACCTAGATGATATAATTTGGATAATGCTACAGAACGGACCAGGTTATGGGCGTATCCAGCTCAAAACTCCACTGTTTTTGATATTTTTCTTTCTATTTGCATTTCATTGTCTTATCCATTTATAGTAGTCCTTCAAGATAATCTGAGAGTCCATATATATATATAAATATATATATGTATATATATGGAAAACTTAAATTACCCTTTAGAAAATTTACATAATAATTACCAAATACAGAATGAAGTTCAAGTAAACAACTTAAAGATCTTACGGATTTAATTTGGTTCATATTTATATACTTTGGTCTACAACGCGTGATTTTTGGGCTGCTGTTGTTTGTAAGTGAAAATAGCCGAGGGAAGTATTTTAATTCCAAAATCACTCCGGTTTTCAGGGATACTGCGGCTTTTTTGGCATAATGTCCGGTAATTCATGACACTATTATAAATGTACCTACAATAACCCGAAAAAGTATTCATAGTTTCAGCGGTTTAATAGTAAAAAAACTAATAATTTAGGATTCTGAGGAATCTTTGAGACAGGGTTACTGCTAGTAGTCTAAGAAAAGAAGCTTCAAAAAATTTCGATCAGACCAAATGTGTAGACGAACATACTCGACTGTGGGAGGTGAGGCAGCGATGGGAGAGCGGAGAAGGTAGATACTGTTTTCAGGTTTTGTATGCATCCCGTAAGCTATTAATGATATCTTTATAACTAATTCTGCATTATTCATCTAATTGAATAAATTTTAATTGTGCTGGCAAGATAATTCTAAGGACACCTCAAATGTCAAAAACTGTCAAGTCGTTTGGACTGTAGCCCCTTGAAATACATGCTAAATGCATGTCACTGCCAGTATGAGAACTTGTTTGTAATGGGCGTGCGATTCGACTTTACCTTTATTGATTACTGATATAAAACATAGCAGTGGCTGAAAATGCAACTGTGAGCGAACAGGAGCGAGTAGCAGTTGTGTTAGAGATCTGCTTGCGTAGTGTGCAATTTCCTTAGCGAAGTAAACTCACCACATGGTTAACTTGTTTACTCAGATCGTATAACATTGCAACCGCCAAAAATATATGGCACCATATTTCAAACCATATTATTTTGCCTACTATAATTCTATACAAAATAAAAGAAAGAAACTAAGCGCAAACCGCGTGTTACTCATGTACTGAACATGCGCTGGATATGTTTTGCTTGAAATTATTCCTTGGATAGACAGTAAATTCTATGTTGAAAGATTGGGAATTTTTTTCTTACAATACTGTGGTTTAGTTCAAATGAACAGTTCTTCTAGAAATACTACAAAACTTATTAGACCAGGCTAGTAATATCTTCCTGAGGGTAAATCCAAAAGCACAGAAATACAACAGTGGCTCTATTGTATGTAGCGTGTATTATGGAGGCTATAATAGGCTCATACTTGTCGCAGCGGCGTAAGGTTCGTGTGCTAAATCCTTAATGTAGACTAATAAAATGGAAGTGAACATATAACATGTACGCTACAAATGTGCTGATTGGCAGTAGGTGATTTCTATGGAATCTATTTTTCCTTCGATTCCCATCTGCACAGGCTACAGATGCAAAAGTTTGCCAATGTTGGCTTAACAAAAAAGACTAACAAAAGTATAAATCAATTTGTTCAGAGTGATCCAAAAAGGTCAGACAGACGTGATCATGAAAAAAAAGGCGAGTTAGAAAGCTTTTCTTCTAAAGATACAAATCACATTACACAGTACCTGGTATAGCAAAGTATTTTTTCCAATTTCAGTAGTAAGAAGGTATAAATAGTGAGTGAAACAGGGGTTGTAAGGTTTAAATAATTTTGGTAATTTTGGTAATTTTCTTTGAATAAAAAATGAAGTGCAAGGGTATCATGTATCTTGAAAAGTGACGTTATATCGATTTTTTGATATTATACTGTTGTTTTGACATTGTGTAGGTTTTTCTACAAAATGTTAACTCAGCACTTAGTTGTACGTGTCGCCTAAACGTCATGAGGCTTGTTATCAATCTTTGGCCCTGATGTGATGTAAAATCTGCTTCAGAGATGGCATTACTGGAGGTCTCAGCTGTAAATTGTATGTGTTGGTGATAATTAAATTGGGTTCTTGTATCAAATATACTTAATTGAGATTCAAAACTAGTAATTATTTGCATAGCCAGTTTTTCTTATCCATTCTGGAAATTACATATACAAGTTTGTTGAATTTCAAAAATGAAAGAGATAAGAAATAATTATATTCACTGTACACTGTTGAATAACAAGCCATATACATGCTAACAGTAATTACACACAACACGGGCGCGGTGATGATTTACCGTAATTGTCATCAGTTTTTCGTGATTTATAACTTTGAACATGTCTCTTCAGAAAGCAGAACATAAAAATAACCCGTTGAGCACAGCTGATAGATATACTTCATTGGCAGCATATTCAGTAATGATTTTCTCACACAGCAAATATCACTGATTTTATACACGTGCAGACCAGTACACATAATCATCCAGTTGCGATCTTGCTATTCAACCTACTTTCTTCTCAGAGATAACTACAGACATGGACCACTGGTTCTCACAAAGCATATGCAACCAATAATGCGTGTAGTCTAGTTGAGTGATTCCTTCATAGATGGACGTTCACAACGATCCTAGTGAGCAAACGTGGAACGATTGTTTGTGCCCTAAAAACTACCTAGTTTGCAAGATGACATCTTATAGGTTTTTTTGATGTTTGATAGGTTTTTTACATGATACCCGTGGTACTCTGCGACAATCCAAGGTTAGTATTCTGTCAGCGCTCATAAATTCACCTGCCACAATCTGACAAAGTAGAACTGCTCTTGATGGTTTACGAAAACCCACTATTTTTAAATGCCCAAGTCAAAGTGTAAACCTTCCCTCACAAGACCTCGAAAAGTGTTTTAAGCTAACTTTATTTAAAAGCTGTTTTTTATATTGTTCGGTAGGCCAAAAATGGCAAACTTTTGATATTTGCTGACTGTACGTGAGTCTAAAGAATCATTACCTTTAAACCTGGACTAGCATCAGTTAGACCTGAAGCAGACTATATCAGTGCTGTTATGATCGGTGCCTTATTTTTGAAGAGACAAAAACACCGTCTCAGCTACTAGGAACATAGAATGTTTCCTTCAAGATCACCGTGTATACGTGTATTCAAATTAGCCGCTTCCTAGGACATAAATAATTCACAAAAGAGAAAAAATAGGGACGTGTAACGTGACTTCACTTACCAATTCCATGAAATAACAATTAAAGGAACATGGGCGGCTATTCATTTATTCTCGTATAAAAATCACCTAACCACTTCTAACTTGATCTTTTCCAGAAATGTTCACCCACACAGCCAAACCCGTGTTTAACATCCTTACAATGTCGGGTAACAACCCTCTGAAGGGATATTGCTGGTCACAAATCATGCTATTCGCCTTTTTTGCGTTAGAGTGCTTCATGTGCTTTCCGATAATGGTATTTGCTTATTCTGGTAGAGAGGAGCCCGTTTTGGTTGAAGAAATGCTAGATACTGCTGCTGGCGTCCTATTGGTAGGGAGGGTAAGTATATCTACACGACATGAAAAATAATCTAAGCGACTTATTTCGAAAAAAAGTTAAGTGGTATGTTGAGCAGAAGATATTCGGAGGGGATTATTTCGAATATAGTTAGATGGTAAGTTGAACAGAAGACATCCGGAAGTCTTGAGGAGGAAAGTATAATGTATGTATTGTTGCCTGTGATTATGAAAGGAAGCTCTCAAGTTTCGTAAGTTTTGATATTCACACTTGTCTGAAAAATGATTCGGAATATTTCATGTTTTTTAGTTATCCCTGGAAGATAAACTCAGATTTCTTTTAGGATTGATAATGTCATTTTTAGACTTAAATATTTACAAATCAGCAACAATAGTATAGGAACTTTTTATTTTTAGGTATATATACATTAATAATAGAAAACCGGATCTTTTATTTTGTTGTGTTGTTCAATGTAAAGTATCTTTTACGATTAAACATGGAATAAAGCCACCGTATTTTGAAGCACACCGCTTTATATAAAAAAAAATCAATTGCAGTATTCATTTTCAGGCAACATGCAAGGCGCTATCAATGTTTGTGTTGAAACATAGAATAAAATACCTGTTCTCAGCGATGGATAACTTCTTTTGGCAACCCCAAGAAAGCGAGTTGTGCAAATCAGAATATCTTAGAGTACGTAAAAATATAATAAAGGTAGCATTGGCGCATTTTCTGATAATTGGTTCTACCTTCGCAGCATTTGCATTGCTGCCTTTAATCAGAAAAGGCGAAGAACTTTTATTTGAATCTTACAGACCAAGTTTCATCCCATACATCGTGATTTATATTTGGGAGTGTTCAATCGGTAAGTTGTTTTTCTATGAACTGTAAACTCGCAATTTTGCTGTTTTTTTTTGGATGGTGGAATTACTTTATCTTTTCGAAGTAATCGTCAGGTTGATAGATTAACGGAAATTGGCAATAAAGAATAATGGTTCCTAGAAGCGATATTTTGTAGCCGTCTTTTTATATTTTTAAGACAATACTAGCCACAACAATAACTTGCCATCCAGTATAAATAAGTTTAACCTTTGATTGACGTATTAGAGCTAAAGATAGCCAACCTGTATTTCGGCATCCCAAAAATTATCCGAGCGTCATCTATGATAACTTGAAACAGCTAAGTTTCTTTTCTCCGCAATAATTAGACATAGTTGGTGCTGTAGCCAACTGTATGCTCATATAATGATAATACAATAAGAATATGGCTTTATTTAGGCGGGCTTAGTCACTGACTGCTTTAGCTCAACTTTAAATGCTAATAGAGTTTACATTCAATAAACATATCCTAATTTAAGCATAGTCATTCTGGCTAACATACACAAGAAATTAGTTATTGAGACGAATAATACATTTTAAAATTCAACTTGAAGGACGATATGCCGTAATATTTGTTAACAAGGGATTATAGAGAAGGCAGTGAGGTAGGAGAAATAGTTCTGGAAGAAGCTGGTGTTGTGTTTAGGAATTTGTAGCAGAAGTGGACCTTTTCTACTCAGGTCATGTATATTTACAGCAAATACAGGAATGACAAAAATAACAATTTTGTGAATAAGACATTCATAATGTACTTTTTGTCGGATATCAAATTTGTTCTGACTAGATAGAATGAACAAGTATGTGATTTGTTTGTCGCCAAAAATAGTGTAGTCAGTAGACCAGATGCGAGGTCATACCACAGCTTAAATAACAAACAGCTATAAAGCTCTCCTGTCAGTGTCAAAAACGGCCGCCATTGCGGAAATATATTCAGTTTTGCCATGTATTCGTCGCTGCTGCGATATTTTCAATTCATTGCATTTCAAACGTAAAGTCTGTTGAAAACACCAGGTACCGAATCACAAGAATCTCAGTGTCTTCCTTGCGGACAAAAAAAAACGAGAGCAGACCACCAGCAAAGTGACACGTTGTCACACCTGACACTTCTGATGGCTGCTCATTTGTGGTGCTTCTACATACAGGGCGAGTTTTTAATGTGTGAGCGGATGGTAATTTGTAGCCCTTTTACTTGCAAAATATGCCGTGCTCTAGGTGACAATTCAAACATACACTGCTTTGAATGGAATATCCTTTTCCTATTGTTCGCTCATTCTAAACAAAAACTATAAATACCTGTATGCTATACAAGAAATCAGAGCGACCGACATTACAGAGGATTTGCGGAAGACCTCTGTTGTTTAGAAAGGGCAAAAGAATAAGACAATATTCGAGTGAGACATGATCAAACGAACTTGCCTGTAAGTGATGTTCGATCCTACTTATGTGAAGGTCTTGTCGAAGTAAATACTACTCTCGTATCTCACCAAACCCACGACGTCCCGCTACCTTCCTCCTCTCTGGCCGCCAATAAGCTATCATTTTTTTCAAAGCCAAGTTGTTGCAACAATTGGGTGATACATAGGAAGCGAGGGTGCTATTTACTTTAACGAGACCTTCACATAATTAGGATCGAACATCCCTTACAGGTAAGTTTGATCATCTAATTATGTTCCGATCTCGTCCAAATAAGTAAATACTACTTGTAGATGTTCAACGCGAGTTGCAACGACATACTAACTACTAACGCTCTGCACTAGTAAACGATAGGTTGTACACAACTACACAAATTGTACGCAATGTACGTGTAACCTAAATGTACATTTCCATTGTAACTACTCAAGTTAGGGCTTTTAACAACATTAATACGATGTATATAGGTGCAAAAAATAACAATCGATAAGATGGTAACAAGCAAATAACGTAATAACATAGTTACGCTTAAGGTGTGCAGACTTGGTTCACCTCAAATGCTGCTTAAGCAAAGCTACTGTTTGGCATAAGAGACTTGTGGGGTGTCTCAGAAAACGCGTTTCAGCCCGCCGTGAGTCTGAGCTTATTTAGCCAGCGCAGAGGTAGACGCATTTAATGTACTGTGTACTGTGGGCTGTCAACTGTGACACATCTACGAGCCCCTTCCCACTTCAGTTGGCCCAACTATTGAAATATTAGTTTTTTTCTTATCAAACACTAATAATAAAAATGTAGCAGGGTGTTATAGGTTTAAAATATTAACAATGAATATTTTGATAATATTTAGTAGAAAACACCAACTTCATCACTCCCTAACAAAATTTGCAGCATAAAAATAACACATGTTGCAATTACAGCATATCAACCTATTTTCATTTCAATGCAAAATAAGTCTATAACGCATAGGTGGCTGTGAAAAATAAAAGCCATGACAATTGTTTTTATTAATCACAGCTGTCAGAATACGTCAAAATAGTTTTGGGTAGTTAAGGTTTTCAAAATGGGTAGAGGAAAGATTATTAGTGAGAAAATTCGGTTACTGATAATTAATTTTTTTAATTCTGGGAAATCAAACTCAGAAATTGCAACTTTGTTAGACTTATCGCGGTACAGTCTGATAAATATTGTTAGAAGATATTACGTAACTGGTTCAGTTAATATTAAGCCACGATATGTGAAAAAAGTAATATCACAAATGCCGACCGAAGAGCATTAAGAAGAATAATCGTGAAAAACAGGCGTGCCAATTATTTACAATTAAGTGCTCTGTGGAGTGATGCTGTTGGAAAGAGAATTTCGAGGGCCACAACTCATAGAGAGGCCTATAAACTGGGATTTAGCACTTGTAAGGTAAGTTTTCTTATAAAAAAAGTGTAGTAAAAACCATAAAGTTGCACAACTTGTTTCTAGGCCAAAGAAAAGCCACTATTAAATCCACTGCAAAAGAAAAATCGGCTTAGATGGGCTAAAGAATATAGACAATGGACATCTCAACAATGGTGTGCAATACAATGGAGTGATGAGGTCCGATTCGAAGTTTGTGTTGGTGACAGTCGCAGTAGAGTTATTCGCAAAAAATTGAAGCATTCCATGTTGACTGTCTGAAGAGAAAAGTGAAATTTCCAGCATCCATTATGGTCTAGGGCAGTATGTCATCAAAAGGAGTACAAACAAATATTTGGCAATTTTGGAAGAATCGCTTTTACCAGTGATGGAAGAATGTTTGACATCCGGCCAAGATTTTGTGTTTCAGCAGGTTGGTGCAGCATGTCATGTTTTCATTTGCTAATATCCACTGGCAAAACTCGATTCGTGGTAAGAAATCTGCCTCCGTTACATGTTGCACCCGTTTAAAATGATAAGGATGTAATTCTTGCAATCTTGTCATTCTTCCTATCTAAAATTATTATTTTTAGGATAACTATCAAATAGGTATTCACAAAGTTTTCTTACTATCGATCTAGGTATATCCGTAATTTCTGAAACATTTCTTATGCTTATTTGCGGATTATTTTCAAACATATTTAAAGCAATATCCATACGATGATTTCCCAGTGGCCTTCCTGAGCCCTGCATGCGCTGAAAACTTCCATGGTTTGACAAATTCCGGTGAATATCAGTAAACATTCGACGTCCAGGTACTATGTGATATGTGATTGGGAAATCTTCTTTGATATTCTCTCACGGCTGACAATGAACTGCCATTGCAAAACCCGTACACAAAATGCATGTCAGTCAGTTCTCTGTCTGTAAATCTTGTCATTTTAAATCGATTTAATAAAAATTTTGTTTAATAAAGTATAAAGAGTCCTCTTTGCTTAAATTTTGTCGAAATACCCAACAAAATCTATTAATGGCATGTCATACATGACATGTGAGGGCACATTTTCTAAAATATTAGCAATTATACAGGGTGTCCCAATTTTGACCTACATATCGAAGTTGTGATTTCTTAAATAGAATGCCTCAAATTTTATTGCACATTTCGATAAACCAATTCAAATGAAGAAGATTGATATGTCATACTATGAGGTTTTGGTAATTAGCTACTGAGATGTAAGGTGTTTTGTCCAGAAAAACCGTCCAGTTCGGCAACCCTTCAATCCGCCATTTTGAAATCTGGAGTGCTGAATTGTGTATCAAAATAAACTTACACACCTCAGCATTTATCTTATTTGTTACTTTTTCGAATTTTCATTTTTGCTCATACAGGGTGGTCAAAAACGCAAATTGTACTTTTTCTCGAAAATTTCAAATGCATCACCCTGTACATTTGTCCAAGTTTGAATTAAATTTTTTATAAGCTTTTTCTTGGTACCAGGTTTGTTTCAGATAAAATCACTAGATTTTGAGTTATTAAGCTTTTAATAGAACCACACACCAAAATCAAAGAAAAAAATCATAGCATCCATGGAAACAAAAGACAAACAGTGAGCTAGTTCCATATTGCCACTAAGAGTACAGATTTGACGTAAAAACTAATTACAATCAAAACAGTATGAATCAGCTTCAAGCGTAATAGAGAAAAACATCTCTAACAACAACATAAACAAACAACTATCACTAATCAAGACCTAATCTACAAAAACTGCTCGAAAATATCTCCACGATGTTGAATACACAGCCGTTGTCTTTGGATAAATGATCGTCACAGAAGTTCTGCATATATCAGTTTCTGCTCCAATTTGCCGTGCAATTGAATGGGGATTTTCCTGCAACTTTAATAGAACCTCCAACTGATTCGCCCCATTGGTGATACTTGGATTATTTGTACACTTTTTACGATATTCCACTGCTCCACTTGATTCAAAACGTTCTCGTAGTGTAGAAAATGTTTCAGGCCTTGGATGTCGCATATTAGGGTACCGTTGCTTATAAATGCGAGATGCTAGGAAACTATTTCTTTGGGCTTTGCCCAAAACGAACACTATATTCACCATTTCTTCTTTAAAAAAATTCTTTTTCAAACGCGTTTTTATTATAATGCTCACAAAGCTATTTTGACAGTTTGTAACTAATAAACAATTTATTTGTTTCCAAGGATGATGCGATATTTTATGGAATTAAGCCGTTCCATAAAAGACGTTCTAATAACTGAAAAAATAGCCCTAAAAACCCTTATGTGTCTAGTATCAAAAAAAGCTTATCAAAAATTGGATCCAAACTTGCACAAATATACAGGGTGGAGCATTTGAAATTTTTGAGAATAACTACAATTTGCGTTATTGACCACCCTGTATGAGCAAAAATTAAAATTCGAAAAAGTAACAAATAGGATAAAAGCTGAGGTGTGCAAATTTTTTTGATACAAAATTCAGTACTCCAAATTTCAAAATGGCGGACTGAGGGGATGCCGAAATGGGGGGTTTTTCTAGACAAAACATCTCATATCTCAGTAGCTAATTACCAAAACCCCATAGTATGTTATATAAATTTTCTTCTTTTGAATTGGTTTATCCAAATATGCAATAAAATTTGAGGCATTCCATTAGAAAAATCACAACTTTGATATGTAAGTCGAAATTCGGGCACCCTGTATAATGGCCAATATTTTAGAAATGTGCCCTAAAATGTCAAGTATATCATCCCATAAACAGATTTTCCCAAAATTTATTTGTTTATGAGGAATATTCCATCCACCCATGGATGGGCCACCCTGTATATATATATATATATATACAGGGTTATCCAAATTAAGTGTCCACCATTAGTAACTTTGTTATTAGTGAAAATACAAAGTTGTTTGAATTAGCAAACTAGTAGCATTTTTAACGCTGGTAAAAATGAGAAATAAAAAAAAACAATTGAGAGTCGTTATTTTGATTTTTTTCAGTAAAATAACATTTTTTTAAATGGAAACCCCTGTATATTATATTTTTTTCTGTTAAAGCATCAAATTTTAAACAAAAAAGCTTACAATAACTTTTCTCCTAGGTTACAAATTGTTGAAGTTATGGCCTCCAATCTGAAACAATTAAATTGTATCGACAAACTTTATTTTCAACATCAACTTATAATCTTACAAAATACAATAACAATTTTTTTTAAAGAAGATGCTCGAAAACACCACCTTGTTCTTCAATACATTTTTGGGCACGTTTTTCAACTGCTCGAACTGTCTTAAGTATGGTCCTACCATCTATCTGGGTTATCTTTTCCCTAACTGCAGTCTTTAACGCGTCAAGGTTATCGTACCTTCGCTTGTAAATTTGGTTCTTTAAGTAACCCCACAAGAAGTAATCAAGTGGGTTTAGATCTGGTGATCTGGGAGGCCACTGTATTGGGCCATTTGTTCCTATCCACTGATCATTAAAAGTAGTACTTAGAAAATGATAAGTACCTCTGGAGTTGTGGGCAGGTGCGCCATCTTGCTGAAAATGCAGATGATGTCTACTTATAAGATCCAATTCGTCTAAGAAATTAGTCAGAATTTCTGACATAAATTCCACATATCTTTCACCAGTTAGGGTTCCCTCATAAAAGAACGGGCCAACAATTTTTGAACCAATTATACCGCACCAAACGTTGAAACTGAAACGGACTTGTGGGCCTCTTGGATGTACTAACAAAAGATTTTCTCTTGACCAATAATGGTGGTTTTTTCTATTAAACATTCCAGAATTTGAAAAATTTGATTCATCTGTCCATAAAAGGTAACGAAAGTTATTTACATTTTGGCGACAGAAGCTAAGATACCAATGGCAAAAAACAAGTCTTCTCTCTGGATCCCCTGCCAAAAGCGTTTGAACTGGTCGGTACTTATACGGAATAAATTTGTATTTTTTTAAAATCCTTTGAACAGTACCATAACTGAAATTAGAGTCCTTGAGAATATCTGCTATTGAATTCTCACGATAAGCTTCAAAATATCCAATAACTGCAATTTCCGTGGCCTCGCTTATTATGAATTCTTTTTTTGCCCTTGTTTTAGCAAAAACATTTTCGTTGCCCCTAAATTTTCGATAAAGTCTCAGAAAATATCGTTCATACGGTTGAATGCGAGCGGGATATAATTCACTGTAGTATTCTCTTGCTCTCAAGGAGGATTTTCTGCACACTAAATAGCATTCTAACATATCACACTTTTCTTCATGGGAGAACATTTTTCTTTAAATTAATGACACAATAAAGCTTATAAACAAGTATTTACACTAATGTTTGACATTATTTGATTTTATCATTGTTTTCCAAAGCCTTCTAGTTGCGAGTATGTCCAGTTTAACAATTTGTCGCTTATCTTAATGCTGTCAAATCGCGAACGCCATATTGTTTTCATAGCCGTCTTAATATTATAATACTGCAAATAATTAAAAATATTTATCGTTATTTTGACTTTATTTTTGACTTTAGCGGAAAAGTCATTATGAACTTTTTTGTTTAAAATTTGATGCTTTAATAGAAAAAAATATAATATACAGGGGTTTCCATTTAAAAAAATCTTATTTTACTGAAAAAAATCAAAATAACGACTCTCAATTGTTTTTTTTTATTTCTCATTTTTACCCGCGTTAAAAATGCTACTAGTTTGCTAATTTAAACAACTTTGTATTTTTACTAATAACAAAGTTACCAATGGTGGACACTTAATTTGGATAACCCTGTATATGTATATATATATACAATGTGTTTGGTCACGACATACCGATATTTAAGAGGGGCATTTTTCAGCAATTTTTATCGAAAAATCCACCCCCTACAGTGTCCTAACTCATCCCTCTTGAAGTGGCAGCCATTTTTATTTTTACGTTACGATTGCTGTAGTGCATGTTTGAAAATCGTAATAACTGAGTACGTAATTGTCACAGAATGATAAATTTGGTGTCATTTGAACGATGACGTGTTGTCCTAGCGATTATTGAAAAACGTGTTTTGATACTAACCGTCAAACATACTTAAAAACAGACAAAAACAGAATAAAATGTGGAAGAAAATAGATTATTTTGTGCATTTTCGCACACGATTCAAAAACTAGTCTGTGAAGTTGTACTTTTTTTGTGCTAATTCTACAGCTTTTTGTTATCCTAAGTATTCTACGTTAAGCAATAAATGCTATCCAGCATGGGTCAAAATGGGTGTAATAAAATGAAAATCGTTTTCAAACTTAATACATAAAAATGACAAACCAGTCAGAGTTTGGACATGTTTAATGTTACAGAAGCTGTTCAAAATGTCCTCCATTATTGGTTATGCACATTTTTGTTCTTAAAACAATGAGTCGTGTTGAGCGCCAGACCATATCTGTGTCAGCCCTAATTTCGTTCGCAGCGGTATGGATCCATTTCAAGGGGAGCGAGGTATGACATTGTAGGGGGTGGATTTGTCAATAAAAATATTTGGCAAATATCCCGCTTAAATATTGGTATGTCGTGATCAAACACATTGTATATATATATTATTAATATATGTTTTGAGGGTCATGTTCCTAGTAAACTTAGAGTATGTTATTATAAATATTAATCAATCTGGAAATACAATTATTTATTGACAAGTGATATTAAAGTAAGACTTGTTAATTCACTAACTCTCACACAACTAGATTATGAAATTATAGTTTATTATAACTTTCTAACAGAGGAAATAAGGCAGCAAATCCAAATTCTTCAAGATTGTTGTATGAGGTTATGTTTTAAAATTCCAATATCGCTCATTGCTTTTTTATGCTAACTTGCTTTATAGAATCACAAAATATAAATCCCCTAGGTATTGGTTTAGTGAATTAGAGAAACGGTTATCACTTCGACAAGAATTACTTCGTAATGATAATTGTTTCATTTACACGTCACCATCTATTTTTAATGATTATTTCAAAATTTTTGAAGCATCTTCTATGTATAATTTTAAAAATAAATATAACATAAAAAATGCTATTACAATTGCAGTTCATTGAAGCAACAACCACTTAAATGCAGGCTCTTCAAAATAATTGTTCCTATTATGCCTTTTATATAGTATAACGTTATGTATTATACTTAACATTGTTACCCATAATATGCTAATAAGTTTCACATCTGTAGTTTAGCAGGCTGAGGTGAAAAATAGCATTGTCAGACCCCAGCCTTTTGGGGTTGTGTATTTAATATGTACATTCTCCAATAAACATTATTATTATTATTATTATTGTTATTATTATTATTATTACTATTAAGTATTATTTTGAAAACCCAATTCCATGCAGCGCCTGCACAATATGTACAGTCTGCGAAAATCAAAAGGTCGCCAATTTACTCTTTACAAAGACTTTTTAGAGTTTTGTAGACAGGCTTATCGTTCGGAAACTAATAACTTTAGAGAAACGTTACTAAGGACCTTTCTGGTTCAGAATGAACCGAGAAGTCAGAAAATTGTCGGAACGAAAATATCTTTTTTGTAATGATCTAAGCGGGGAGGGAATTGAGAACAATCGACCATTAGATGGTAGGGCAAGTTCCGGATTATTATTTTTTCTCAATTTTATCCAGCGCCTGATCTAACGATCTACCAGAACATAATACATCTTAATAGGTTTCAGGCTTATACTTGAAGGAATGTTTTGTTTCGATATGATACTTTACATTACGATGGCGCATACAGGGGCACAACTCAAAATATTGAACAAAGTAATATCGGGAGCTTACGACATGAAGATACAGAACAAAAGTGATCTTAAGAAGTTCAAACTCTTAATGAAAAGGTGTATCGAGCATCATGATTTCCTACTGCGGTAAGTGTGTGTACGTTTCTCTGTGAGGTCCAATGCTCGATTGACAAAAAGTTTGCGAGGCGGATAGTGGTGTGTAATCTCCAACTGCAGGTATGAGACACATACCGATTCGACATTTTTAATGAACTGGTAATTCAGTCATATTAGAGGTCTCACCTCGGAATGAAGGATGATAAGTTGTGAATTCATAAAAGCCTTTATTTTGTTATTCTAAAAGTGGTTCTCATCCGCGCCTTAAGAAATCAAATGTCACAAAAAGTTGTCTTTAAGCAAAGATCTCGCTTCCAATGGGCTTAAGGCTATATTAATCTACTATGAATGTTGTAAAGAATGCATTCTCTTCAACTCTCATTTCAAACATTTCTCATACAATTAAAAATTTAAAAGATATAGGGCGGAGAACGCGCAGCACTTAGCTTTTTACACCATAACGCAAGGTCTATAGATCATTAAAAAATATACAGTTATGCATTTTTTTATTAATTGTTGCATTATTATTTAATAGTCAAACATATGGTTATACAAAATGCATGCTTATATAAGAATTCACAAAACCCAAATGAAGAATTGTGTCACTAACAAACTCATATATGCTATAGATACCTCACAGCAGTAGTTACCAAAAAAAGTTCGTAGAACCCATACGAAGAATTGTGCTAACAAAAAAGTCATATATTTATGTATGTTGTAGAGTATTACATACCTATCCTGTAATCCCCGGTTTTTTTTTAAGCTTTAGATGTGTACGTTTATAGGGCATCTACCATATATATATATATATAACGGGTTAATCATATTCAACGAAAAGATGTTTTTTTTAAATCATAGGAAAAAACACATTCTTTACTGTTCATTTCAAAAATTGTTTATTTGGGTTCAAGGAGATTTGTGAACATCATTTTTTGAAAACGATATCTCTTAAATGACCGACATGAGCCTGTACGTCGAAAAGTGCCCGTGATGCAGCAATTTACATCATTTTGGCCAATGTTTCGGTTGATATGGCAGCTATTTGGCTGTTGGCCTCAAGTGCGTCTAGGGTCTTTGGCTTGTTGACATAAATCTTCGATTTCAAGTAGCCCCACAAAAAGAAGTCTGGAGCCGTTAAATCTGCTGAACGCGGTGGCCAGTCAAAATCACCATTTTTCGACATCAGACGCCCAGGGAACAATCGTTTCAAAAAATCGATAGTAGCTCGAGCTGTGTGTGGTGGAGCGCCATCTTGTTGAAACCAGAAATGCTCCATACCATTGTCACGAACAATTAGCATCAAAAAATCAGTTACCATATCGCGATAACGCCCCTGATTGACGGTGACCGCTTTGCCAGCTTCATCTTCGAAAAAGAACGGCCCAATGACTGAAACAGTCACTTTTTGGTCACAAAGAGGATTTTCACTACCATAGAACCGACAGTTTTGTTTGTTTACGGCTCCGATTAACATGAAATGAGATTCATCGCTCATGATGATTTTTTGCCAAAAATTATCGTCACTTTCAGCCATTTCGATGACTCTTTGGACCCATTCCAATCGACGTGGCTTATCGGCAGGTAACAGGTTTTGCGTCAGTTCGACGTGTTTGTGATGTTGGAGACCTCTGAAGACTGGTCCGTACGAGTGCGATATTTTTATCCGATAGCCTTGATCGCTTTCTAATTGGACGCTTGGGATTACTAAGTGCCTCACCTAATGAAAATCTTTCATACAAATGATGCAACGTACTCGCGGAAGGCGCAGTTTTCACTTTATTTACTTTTCTCCTTGCACGTTGAGTTTTCACAATTGACTTGTTTTGTTGAATGCAAATTTCAACAATTTGAGAGCGTTTGCGTGGAGTGTACTGCTCCATTGCAAAAATCTCCTTATACTGATGCTTCAAACGCGCTACGTCATTACTCCATCTGTCATCTTTGTCAAAAGTTACAGTGTTGCCACATCTTTTCGTCGAATATGGCCAACCCTATATATATGGTAAATGTTTTGATGGTGGCACGAGATCACCCTGTAGTCTTCTGACTTTTGGCAAAGCTATCCCCAGATATGGGTGTTCATTTGAAAAATTCCTACCATCGATTTATCGAAAACCACTAACTAAAAGAAAGAACGCCGAGACACGTCACTACCACCTGGGCCAGCCCCTTTAAAATGTTTAATAACAAGGGGTATCGAGTAAAAGTTTATTTAAAAGGTCTTTCGAAGTCCTTTATTTTGACGTTTGATTTTTTAAAATCGGTCGATTCGTTTTCAAGAAAATTAGAAAAATCATTATTTACCTTAATTTGTTCAGATAGAAATCAAAGACACACGAAAATATCACTTTTTATTTCAAGAAGTGTTCAAAATATTGCCAGTTATTGGCCAAACAATGATTTAGGCAATGTTCAAATTCCTGACGGACATTTTCAAGAGCATGTTGTGGGATATCATGGCAGCTTTCGATGATGCATTCATCCAAACTTTCAGGTTGAGGAGTAAATACAGATTTCAAATGGCCCCTTGGAAAAAAGTCTAATTTCGTCAAATCAGGAGATCTAGCAGACCATTCTACAGGCCTTCTTCGCCCTATCCATTTATCTGGAAACTTGTCGTCTAGCCATTGCCGAACCGGAAGAACTTAGTGAGGAGAAGCGCCGTCTTGCTGGAAATATATTTCAGCCTCATTAAGTATAGGGTTTCCATCTTCTCCGATTTCATTTTCAATGGTTTCATTGAAAAATGATGGTATTTTCCAATATATCCAAATAAATGTCTCCATTCAAATTTCCATTAATAAACAACGGCCCGATCACTTTGTTTCCTAAGATGCCTGCCATACATTAATTCTTTGGGGGTACTGTGTATGCCCTTCTACAGAAGCATGAGAATTTTCATTGCTCCAATACCTGCAGTTATGCTCATTAACAAATCCGTTTAGATAAAATGTGCATTGCATTCATTTCTGAAGCAGATATTCTTTACATGAATGGTATTATTATTGATCGCTGCAGTCATTTGTTCACAACACTCAACTCGCCTATTGAAATCATCTTTGGTTAACTCTTGCAATATTTTTAGTAAATGTGTACAGAGCCTAATGAGATATCAGTCGCAGCAACATGGTACAAAAATTCCCTTGAGAATTTCACAGGGCAAGAAATTTCACTCCTTAGTGTATAGTCGGCTGTAACGAAATGAAAGACAAGCTGACTGCAAGATCCCGATTCTTACTGCAAAGTTTCGGACTCTGTCTTGGTTGCTGTCTTATTGTCCTTACGAGGTTTAGTAATGTCTGTCTCGTCTGCTCAAGTAAAGATACTTTCTTTATGTCACAATTGAATACTGTGCCTAAAAGTGCCCAATTTTGACTGCAGGTCAAGCAGCTTTTTTTTAATTGATTAAAAAAGTGGGTGTTAACTGTTGCCCGGATATTATTCAGGCAATCTCTATCAGTATAACCGAACAGAAGGGAATACAGACAGAAACATTTCCTTTTACTTAATGTATGCCAGAAATGGTTTTATTAATTTTGTGAACACATGAGGGGCACAATTTACCCTAAACGGTACAGCATTGTGTTGGAAGAATATGAATCTGAAATATATTCTATGACTCTCCCTAATGGGTAAAAAAATCTCTCCATATTCCAAATCCAGATTCATTAAGAAAGTATCCCTACGGAGAAGTCTGATCCCAGTTCAATAGCCTTTTAACTTAAGTGTTCTATCCCGATAAACAGACTCAGTGTCTTGAAGTAAGGAATCAAACATGTTGACCCATCAGACTTGGAGGCAAGAAAAAGTTGGAGAGGCGCTGATTTTTAGTTAGCTCAACTTTTTTACTGATATCACCGCAGCTAAGCAATTGAGATACTGTTGAAGATTCTGCTATGGAGGAGTGCTGAACCAGTCGCCATGTGAATGGCAAGAGACTACTCGAATCCAGCTCAGGACTTTAGCGCCACTTCTTAAGTTCTGCCATTGCTGATGATTACGCGTCAATCTTCATGCTACGTACGTTATCTGCAATCATCGGTAATAGCTAATGTTGTCAGTACAATTTCTATTATAGCGGCCGCTATCTCAGGGTTTACCGTAGGTGGCTAGAATAGAACAGAATTCATTCATCTATCGTCATCATCAAGACCTGCCCTTGAAATGTCAGCCTTGGAACAATGCGCAAACATTAATAATTATACTAAGGTCGCCGCATCATCGTGGTGATGCATTATTTCTTGAAACAGAATACATGGCCTTTAAAACATCACAATCCAGAGCGCCCTGGTGTTCGAATGCCACCGCTCATGCAAAATATAACGCTAATCGGGCATAATGATACCTAACCTCCGTTATTACTGAAAATTAGTACTCTGGTGGTTTACTAACCGGTCATGTTCATACGTACAGTCCTGTCCCGTAGTTATCACCAACCAGGTGGAATTTCCTATCACAAGCAAAATGTAAAGCTAGTCTACCCTAGATGTGTTATTAACGAAAAATGGAACTTCGGCGATTTCGTAACCTGCCATGTGCATATTATTGACCTGTTCGATGGCTATTCCAAACCATATGGAATTTGCTATCACAAGCAAAATGTAGCGCTAGTCTCGCATGGATGCACTTAATCGCTGTTGTTTATTAATGAAAAATGGTACTTCGGCGGCTTCCCAGCTTCTCATGTGCATCCTTGCAAATTTGTTCCATATTATCATAAACAAGAAGGAATTTGCTATCACAAGCAAAACGTAACTCTAGTCTCACATAAATGTACCCAATTTTTATCTGCTATAAATGAAAAATGTTATATTACTGCATTGCTATCACAAACCAGATGGAATTTGTTATCACAAACAGCTCGTAACGCTAGTCTCGCACTGATGAAACCTAATCTCTATCTGTTATTCATGTAAAATGGTACTTCGACGGTTTCCTGAACTGCATCTACATTCTTACAATACTGTTCCTAGGTTATTACAAACATGATGGAATCTGCTATCCCAAGCAAAATGTACCGCTAGTCTCAC